TCCGGCGCGAAAGCTGTCCCGAGCAGAACAGAAGTCACTGGGCGCGGATCTCAACCCGTACGAGATTGCTGTCGCTATCGAGAACACTGCGCCTGACAAGAGCCCCGGTCCTGACGGGCTGACAGGTGCCTTCTATCGCACATTCCAGGCACGCCTCTGCTATGCATTGTCCCACGTACCCTTCCCGAGAAGCGTTGGGTGATGCTGATCACTGTAGAACGTGGGATGTGAAGTTGGGTGGCGATCTTGTTGTAGGAGAGGCCAGCATTTCGCAACGCGAGTACTTGACCGCGGACGACCTCCCTGGGCATCTTGTCCACCACGGGCAGCGGTCTTTTTGGTGAAGTTGGACGCAGCCATACCGGGGCTGTCTGGGAGCCACGCGGGACGTGGATTGACTGCGTGTGCGAGTCATGCGCACAAAAAGACTGAACCCAAACCAAAATTTGGGCGGGAAAAGTGACTTTTTGTGTTTCCGTATATTTTTTATTTTGCTCGCTGCTGCTCCGATATGACTCGAAACCCCCCCCCGCTCCCGGTGTTCATCAGACGTTCGGTACACCGTACCATGAATAAACATTCCGCGGGCGAGACGGAAGTCAACACAGGTCCCCAGGGAGGGCGCAAAAGTGAAAAAAAGAGGGGGGGGGTCGAAATTTAACGATCGAGATCGTATTCTTCACACGACAAGACATCAACAAACAAACAAACAAACAGTCAATCAATTAAAAAAAATCGAACAACTAAACAAACAAACAAGCAAACACACATGCATTCAGTCACAGTGCATCTACTTGTTCACTCGCTTGCAGCTGCTTATGGCGTGGAGCCATCAGCGCCAAGCATCGGCGTGGCTGCCGCCTGCGCCGCCTTTTGCTCTTGGTCCTTGATGTACTCCATCGTACTCAGTCCGTCTACAATTGGAGGCCAAGTGAGAGAGAGAGAGTGAGAGAGAGAGAGTGAGAGAGAGAGAGAGAGAGAGAGAGAGAGAGAGAGAGAGAGAGAGAGAGAGAGAGAGAGAGAGAGAGAGAGAGAGAGAGAGAGAGAGAGAGAGAGAGAGAGAGAGAGAGAGAGAGAGAGAGAGAGAGAGAGAGGCTCACACTCACCAAACATGGGCCACAACAGAGGAGGGAAATATTTGCGGAAGTTGCTTTGGTCGACGAAAAACACATTCTCGGCGACTTGGCATCAGAAGCATCTGATTGGTCTTGATCTGCCGAATTAAGCGCCTTGGATGAATTTTCTACCAGCGTTGCCTGTTCGGTCTTGCTGTAGACCGTTGACTCGTACAGCTTCGCGTCGCCAGCTTGCACAACCTACAAAATCATCCCGGTAAGTACCACCCTCAGCATTCTGATCGCCAACGAACATCAAACATACTTGAAAGTCTTGATCAGGCAATTTCTGGAGCATGGATCCGCACGGCAAGTCAGCAACAAAGAAGTTCGTGCAACCAACATCCGAAACGTCAGATCTCACACAATGTTACCTCGTGAAACGTGTAAAAGTCAACCGCTGCATTGTTGATCATGCCGTGATACACGGTGCCGGGTAAACGGCAATTCGGCAAGAATGGACCCAACTTGCCACCACGATCGCACAGCTCGATGGAGCTGGGATCAGGCTTCGGGATCTCGAGATGAGCGATCGAAGAGTTGTCGGCGAATCGCGCTCCTTGGTGCAGCTGTTTAAGACGGATGACATCACTCCCGTACTCGAGTGCAAACGAGTACAAGCGAAGAGCAAGGGCGGCTGCACAGGCTGACTCAAGTGACAAGGAGTACTGCTCCCCTGGTACCGACTTGTCAAGCAACGTCTTCAGCGCTTTCCAGTGACGTGGGAGAGGTTGAGATGGGGCTTGCTGCGCATAGAGTCGCTCCAGCCGCGAAACCAACGCATAGCCAATGAGCATTGGAAGGACGAGCCGAGACTCGACGATGGTGCCAAGCGAGTTCGCCTCGACCAAGTTATGACCGGAATCATCTTTGACGACCGGATTGACGAGTACTGCACACCTCAACGCAGAAACCAAGGTGGATTCAATTTGCTGCATGTTGAGTGAGCTCACACGGTTCTCGAGGGCCGAC